CTTTCTGAAGCCTTGATCAGAAACAGCTAGCTACCCAAGAATCTGAGTTTTTGCATGTTTGGTTGGTGAACATAGTGACTAGTGCTTGATGCCTTATTTGCGCGTTTGTAGGATTTGGCTTTTATATTCAAGTCTCCTCATTCAGTGTATGATGGATTCCATTGGACATGACGTGAAGATAAATGTTGGCAATGGCAATTGTGGCTGGTCATGCAGGTGCATGTTGCTTTGGAATGACATGTTCAATTCGATGCACGTATTGCATCCGACAAAAAGAAGCTTTACAACCCTCCTGGCTTCTTCGTTTGACGACCGCTGTCAACGTTTCGAGCTAGATAGTTTCAAGCTGTGCCAAGACAGTCTTGATCATCCCGGAACTTCTTCACTGATGGATTCGGTCCCACCGAGAAGATGAGATTCCAAAAAGCAGCCCCACTTTGGACAAAGCTTTAAGAGACCACCCTCCGCCTTCCCACTTTCTCCTTCGCCCCAAAAACACGCCGAACAAGGCCGAACAAAGTCCTCAGGCTCCTGGTGGCCTTCGGGGTGTGCTCAGTGGACGCTGGAACACCCGCCGAGCCACCAGGGACCCGACGCGCGCACCGTGTGGAGCGAGACGCGGTTCGAGCAGCTGCCAGGATTTGGGTGACCGCGAGGCTCGAAGCATAGTGAGAACGGGAGAAGCTTTCTCTCTCAGTTGAGTTTTTTTTGAGTAGCCATTCTAACAACGGCATGCAAGACCTAAGGCCCATACATACCAGAGATGCTTCTGTGAAAGTTGGACGGACGTACATGATCCCACAATGCTCAATCTAATGTGATACGACAGTCAAACATGGTCAGACAATACTGCACACAACAGCGTAATTGCTGATTGCATGCTGCGCCTGCTATGGCTGCTGTGCTTCCATGCTTGGAGCTTTCCAAATGAATTCTGCGTACAGCAATGGGGCTGCCAGGAGGACTGCGTTGAGCCGCTGAGCCATTGCTGTAGGGCTTCGCAATTGACTCAGCGGCTACATCACTTGGATTCCTTCAAAGAACTCTGGACATATCATGGCTTGACTTCTCCGGATCCGGCTGATGTACACCAACTGTGCTTGGATTTCCTCCAGTTTCCAAGGGGTGGTGGGAGTGCGATGGAGCAGCACCTCACCAGATGTTCTCGGGCCATGCTGAACATGGCTTTCATGGCAGATGCCTTGCATCATGGAGAGTTTGGAACCAACAAGACATGTTCAGAGATGCACTTGAAGGTGCGGTACCCTATGAGCCAAGAAGATGAATGGAGTTATATATATCTTGCTGAAGATCGATTCTGGCTGTGGTACGTTGTAATCGCTTCAAGGTGGCAGGTTCTTGCCATGTTGGCCAACCATACAGCACGTTGCACAGGTCAACATGTGGCCAACCCGTGCGCTGCGTTCAATCCTTGGCAACCGTATACATGTTTCGCCCATCACGAATTGATCCAAGCCTGGTCCCCTTCTTGCCAGCCCTTGAAGCCCAAGATCCCTCGCAGACCCCCCAGCACACGACCGACCGACTGGCTTGGCGTTCAGCATCAGTGCGGGAAGCGACAAATGCCCGATCCTCAAGTTCAACTGGAACTCACACGACAGCTGGAGTGTTGGGGTCTTCCCTGGGGTCCCCTCCCAGGGGAGGATTATTTTGAAACGATTTCGCTCTTGACGTCCCTCTCGAGATGGTCCAGAAGTGGAGCTGAAAGGGACTTTGTGCTCATGGAAGCGGGTTCCTCGATTGGCTTTTGGTCCTTGAAGGCTGCCAAGGCTTTTAGGCAACTTGCAAGCGGTAGAAGTCGCTCCTGCAGAGTCATTCTCATTGATTCCGACTGCCCCAAGAGGAAGATGGTGGAGCACCTCAGTGAGAACCACATTTACGACCTGTGCAACATCTCTCTCTTTCAAGAGCATCTTAGTTTTATAGTGGATGGGTCCATGTCTGTCCCAGCCCTTTGGGGATTGTGCCATCTACTCTGAAACCACTGTAGTCCGAACCAAAAGCGCGTTCTTCTTCGACACCGACACCGAGTCACTCGGGGGGTCGTGGTGCCGGACACCGAGGCGGCGCGGCGCAACATACCAGGGCCCCCTAAACGGGGTGTCTAAGTCTATTGGATACCCCTTAACCTCCTTAACCTCTAACAACATAATATAACACAACATGCAGACACTTCATGTCATGCAATAAAGAGGTCGTGCAAACATGCAGACATACAGCTCCAGCATGCAGCGCGCATGCAGCGCAGCTCAGGAATGCCACTGCATCCTTGGTGGATGGTTTGATTCAAGAATATGGCCAGATTGACATGCTCCATATGGACATTCAGGGAGGCGAGCTGGAGCTTCTCAAGGAGAGCAAGCACCTCCTGAAGCTCGGTCTTTTGGACTCCTCGTGTCACCGGTTGGGCGGGTCGGGTTCATGCCAAGGTTCGGGGGGTTGAGACGACGTCCCAGGCGGAGGCACTGCCTAGAACGTCCCTGCTCAGCAGCATGTTTGGATGCCTTTCTTTTTAATGCTCACCGTTTTTGTATTGAGCTGCTGTGAACTTGAATGCCAGGAATGTCTTGAACGTACACATCGGCACCCACGGCTTTCACGATGAATTGAGGGAAGAGTTCCTGCGCCATGGTTTTGCCCTCGACTTCGACTTTATTCCCCATCGTTTTGTGAGGACTGCATATGGCCCAGTCTATTTCGTGGATGGCATTTTGGCAGGGCACCAACAATCGAACTGGTCTGAAGGAGTGCGCAAGTCGATGGAAGCAAGTTGAAGACAAAGAGCTTCAAGATCGCGACCTGGTGCGTATCCAAGGGAGAGGCCGCGACCAGTGCGTTTTGTTGTGCGGATCCTCCAAAGACGTCCTGTGGATCCTGTGAAGGTCGCGCTGGACGAAATGGAGTTTGGCATGGATCACGACTCCTCGAAGATGCTTTTTGTTGGTGCTTTGAGGGTGGGGAGATATAGTGGAACAAATGGAAGGAGTTTGAACCCTCAGTTGAGTATTATTTTCGGATCTACGTACTCCAACCGCAACACGCAGTTGCATACCCCGAATGTGGGACTTTTTCATTGCGACCGCATAGGAGGCCACGCTAAGACTCAGAACCCAGTTGACCCAGTTGACCCAGTTGACCCCGAACCCGCACCCGAACACCACCACCAGCACCACCACCACCACGACTGCTACTACTACTACTACTACTACTACTCCTGCTCCTGCTCCTGCTCCTGCTCCTGCTCCTGCTCCTGCTCCTGCTCCCACCACTGCGACCGCGACTGCGACTGCGACGACTACCACTACCACTACCACTGCCACCACTACCACACTTGCCATCGCAAAGTCAATCGGGTCAACTGGGTTCAACCGGGTCAACCGGGTCAACCGGGATACCCTGTTCAACCGGGACAGCACATTTACCGGCCCCCTACGCCGACGCACTTGACTTTCTTTCTTTTTTGATTTTAATATTAATGCCTGTAGATCTTGCAAAGCATATAGGAGCACCTGGAAGTTTGGATTTGATTCAGGTGCTTGTTGTTGACTGACTGACTAGACTTTTGGACGTTTTGCTTTAAACCATCCACGCATGTTCAGAGTCTTGCTCACCGGTCCGTATCAACAGCCAGGGCGGTTGGTTGGGAACGATCCGTCTTTCAGATGGGCCGGTTTTGGCCACCATGGGTCAGGGGACCAGAAAGGACACCCAACCTTAGTGTTGTGCGTCGGTCTGTCGGTCTTTCAATCCTTACTGTAACGCACGATTCGGCCCGCGACGTGAAGGGATTTCCCGAAGACGGAAACGAGCTCGAACACCCCGCCAAAGCCCCATGAGCACCGCCAAAGCGTGTTCAAGCTCAATCTGCAGATTTCTCAGTTTCATAAGTACTCCAAAGACCGAAGCAATGCTGAACAAGTGAGGCTGCCCCCCCCCCCACTCCCAACCCGAGAGAGCTTTGGGACCGCCGGTGGTGCCCACCGTTTCGCTGTCGTTCGCCGCTCCAGGAGCATCGGCATCATAGAGCCCAGTGAGGAGAACTTCACCATCTCCTGGAGTCCGGGACTGGCCAACGATTGCGTCTTCCAGGTTGGGTCTGTGGGGGAAACCAACAGAATTTGAAGCGCCCAAGTGGGCCAGCTTTTGGTTGGGAGAGCGTGGGAGGATTTTGAACAGCCGTTTTTTGGAGGGGTTGATGTGGTGTGGGTCTTCACGTTTTTCCCGGATGGGACAGATTTTTTGCTACGCACATGGATCAGAACGATGTGCCATGTTGTGATCAGCTCCGATCGACAAATCATCTTATGGTTCTGAATTTTATAAAGAATCCTTATTTTGTGTTTTCGGGTTGTCTGGGTTGGAGGCCTATAGCTAGTAGATGCTAGTAGGTTGGAGGCCATCGCTGGTTGGAGGGCAATGGAGGCCATCGCTAGGAGGTTAGAGGCCATTACTATACTAATAGTAGCTGGCTAGAAACTATACTAGTAGCAGGTTTCCAAGCAAATCATCATTCCTTCGGGTCGGTCGCTGGTCGAGGCCTGGCAGGTGCGCGTCCGCAGCCGAAACCTCAATGGCACCTTGGTGGGTAGCTGGCGGGATCCTGCATGTCAGGCGGGAAGGGCGCGGGGAAAGGACCATGGAAAGCATTGGAAAACAGGTGTTGGTGTTCAAGTTTCCTCATGCATACTTGTTCTTTATGTCATTGTGATATGGGTGAGTGAAATCAGGCTTTTGCGTCACACTGGTGAAGGTTTGCTTCAACTCACTTCTTTCTTTTTTCATCCTTTTTGTTTCGGACACACTAAGATCTGTAGAGATTGGTCGAGTTGTTTTTCTCCTGCGCCGAAAAACTCGCCGCTCCACTCGACGCCTCGAAGACGTTTGGAAGCCAACGAGAGGTTCCTACAACTCGAGAGGAGCCCAACTGCACAGCAGGGTGCCCTTTTGCGGGGAGGGGTGGAGCTTGGGTCAACGGCCCAGGATACACGTAGGGATGATTGGGGTGAACTGGAAGTCCATGGTGCATATTTGGATGGCCACAAAGTGAGTGGGGAATCGACTGAGAGTCTACACCTGTATCATTTGAAGGCTTTTTCAATGTTGGATGTCGAAAAAACTCTGTTTGCCAGCCATTCTGACTGGACAGACTCCGGCGAGGCCACGAAGAATCCATCCCTCGGTCACTCGAATGGGAAGAGGTCCTTCCCTCCAGTCGTACCACGTGGGAGGGACACACCCAGGTGGGATCCACCGAACCACCGATCCAGCGGTTCCGCGGCGGTTCCGTGTTCGGAAATCAAAGAAAAGGACGGAGGTTGACCTGCATTCATTGGGAAGACCATATGGGTTGGAGAGCAAGATGAGCAAGAAGGAAGGCGCAAGGGCCATCACCCGGGCCTGCCATGATCCTTCAAAAACCTCTTCAGCACATCGCCGATCGCTCGATTCCGCGGTCTTTCTTTTTGTGCTCGATTCTGCTTCCAGAAGTTGTTCTGTGTGGTTCTGAAAAGAGGGAGGCACGTCATGGGATGGCGCGTTCATGAGGAGCAGTCATCACGGCTGGCCCACATAAAAAACACATATAGAACGTATGGCGTAATAATATATACCTACTTCTAAGGAGAAGTCCAGCTCAACCTAGGCCAGACTCTCCAACAGACGTCCTGAGCAGGGCCCTACAAAAGGTCTTAAAAAGACTTGACTTTCCAGGGTGCCAGTTGTACCGAGTACTTGGGCCTCTTGTTTTCAGTCCGCACCATCCCAACTCTCACCGACATACCCAGCCAGCAAGCATCCACTCGTCGCCTTTCTTTCCTCACCTCCTGGCATATGCGCGGTACGCGTATGCGTGGTGCGCGGTACGTTCGGCGATGGGCTTTGCTCAGCAGCTGCTGAACCATGTGCCGCCAGGGCCTCTGCTGGCTGGGCCAATGGAGAAGAAAAGAGGTTCATTCTCATGCCAACACCTTGGTGTAGGTCATGAGATAATGCGAACACCTCCGTGTGCAATGTGCACAAGCACCGCCACCAAGTGTTCTCAGGATTCTTACAGTCTTGGCAAGGGAACGTATTGTATTCTTTGATGGACTTTCTTGGTGCCTGATGTGCCTGGGTCATGGAAACTCTTCCTCAGGCACTTAGCACACGCGACCCAGCTCCATGCAGAGGAGGCTTCCCAAGGCACCTGGAGTTGGAGGGGGAGGAAGCTGAGGTGGGGCACCATGCAGCTGTGGTTCAAGAACTTGCATATCTAATTCGGCCCAACTGTCTAGTTGTTGGAGAAAATCGGACAGACCGACAAGCAATACCTCACACACACAGCTTCAAGTGTGCGACAGCTTTCAAGATGAGCTATAGGCTTGAGATGGCTTGAGTTTCTTGGGGTCGTCGAGGAAAACCACATCGAAATGCCACTGACCTCGCTCAGCACGCGTTCGTTTTCGTGCCAGGCGCTGCGAGCGGCGAGAGTGGCGAGAGCGAGGTGCATCAGGCGCTGGGAGATGGCTGATAGGTCCAAATCAGCCAGAAGACCTGTCGGTTAACACCTCACTTGCTGGGGCCCATACATTTGTCAAATGGCTTCACTTGCTTGTGTTGCACATGGATGGATGGATGGATGGATGGATGGATGGCGTACCTGCCGGTTTGTTTTGGTGGTCGGGTGGTTTGTTCCAAGTGGAATCCAGTTTTTGATTTCAATGAGAAGCCCCATCATTAGACGGTTGCAGCAGATCCCACATGAAGATCGGGATCACATCGTTTCACGATCGACCCGGTCTCGACTCCCCGGGTCTTGGAAGTGTTACGTCGATCTGAAAAAACGAGGTTTTCTGGCCGAAGAACAAACCGGCTACATTCGGCCGTATGCCCTGAAAGGGCGAGTCCTTTGGACGTGTAGATGTGTAGGAGTCTTCTGATGTCCAGTGCTTCAGGCTGGAGACTTCAGCAGCACCGCCCGTGGTGCAGAGGACATGTCGCCGCGCCTCGCGCCTCGCGCTCCCTCGCGTTCCGTCGGAACACGACCCGCGACCGTCCGAGGAGCTGCGGCGGTTGGAAGGCGCGCTGGTGCGGGTGGACTTGTTGAACAACAACAATTCCCAGCCGCTGGGGCCGTGAACTCGAAAGACCGCGGAGGAGGTTCCAGGGAGGGGGTTCGGAACCTGCAGAAGATGGGCCAAACTGTGGGTGTGGAAGCTCCATGAGCCATGGACCGCGCCCCCGATGTGACATCACGTCTTTGGAGGAAAAACGATGCTGGTGGGGAGAATCAAGACTGCGGGTGTGGTGAAAAAATGGGTATATCATCGAAAGCGATGCAAATTTGAACACTGCATCAAGACAATGAATGCATACTACCAGGACTGTCCGTGACTTCGGGTTGGAGATCACCTCACCCGCTTCGTGATGGAGTTGGGTGTCCCCAAAAGCACTGAACTTGGAAGGTCCTGAGTAGTAGAAGTTAGTAGTTTCTGTTGGGCTGATTGCCTTGTTAAAGCCGCGGTGCCGGTATGGTGGGAGCTTGGTAGCCTCGAAAAGACATGCTGGAAGAGCGCCAGAGAAGACCCCAGTGAGGATTGGATTCTTCGACTGCTTGGAGGTATAGTGACAGTGAAGGTTTTATGCCTGAACCCCTATCAAGGTAGCAATCTTGCAGTGTTTTGAAATGATGATGATGATGATGATGATGATGAAGATGATGAAGATGACGATGACGATGACGACGATGATGATGATGATGATGATGATGATGATGATGATGATGATGATCATGATCTTCTGCAGGCAAAGCTGCCAGAATTCGAGGCAGGGGGAGAATCCTATGACCTACATCTTTCCTTTGAGATCCGAAGTTGAGCACCCCATCCATAGAGAATTCTGCAAAGTTTCCAAGTCCATGATGGTTCCAGGGAGAGTCAAGCTTGTCCTTTGACCAAGTTCTGAGCCGGCCCGCAAAGCGGCCTCCTTTCTTTTCGAGGTCCTTCTTCCGCTTTTCTCGCAAAAAACGGCTGCCGCTTCCGAACTGCGCCGAGGTATTATGGAGCCCCTTGGAGTTGTTATGCGAGGGAGCGGACCTGGATGCCGAGGGGGAGGGACCAAGGGATTTGCTTCAGCTTCGGAGAGAGATGGCCCACCAATCCCTCGGGTGGACAGAAGAAGAGACCGGCCTGAACTCGGAAAAAAAGAACTGGGTCTGAGCGCTTGGATTGGATGGTCCGTGTGTCTTATCGTGTGTCTTCTTGGTCTTCTCAGATCGAGCTTTGGATGGATCGTTTGACCAAGATTAGGTGTCTGGTCTTCACCTCGCACCTCCAACGGACTCCAAAGAACACGACGGGACGACGTGTGACCAAGTGTGGCAGATTGGAACAGCAATTCTATCATTTGCGCGAAGAGAGAACTGGAGTTTGGATCTTCATTTTTAACAGGCTCCTTTGAGGGACCATGTTACTTCATGCCCTCCAAAGAGAATGGCACCAGAGCATTTCACGAGTATTTCTTGCTATTTCTTGCAGCTTACTTGTTACATACCGAATTGGAATATGAGGAACCACCAACAAACATTCTGTCACCATGTGACGAACCTCCCTACCTGATCCACCTGGCCACTCGCATGACGTGTCTCCGTCGTCAGCGTCATTGGCCGCGTGATGTCCTCGTCGCCTGAGGACTTCACGCGCCTTGGAAGAGAGAAGTGGGGTCTGGAGGGGCGAAACGGTCGGGGTGAAGACGTCTCTCTCCCTCTCTCTCTAGTAACAAGTGCATCGCTACTAGTAACAGGTGCCTTACTAGTAGTAACAAGAAGCTATTAGAATCAAGTGCCTTACTGCTAGTAACAATAAGAATCTAATTTCATTCTTAAAAGAATATGGATCGTCTTCGATCACTTTCGGGGCTTTTGGAATTGCCGATCGGATGGTTGGCAAGCTTTTGACCACCATTTTGGTTTATATAGACCCAGATCCCTTCAGAAAGTGTCTGGTGATTCCACCTTGGCATCGACTTCCTTCCTCTCCACCACCGGCTGAAACTGCTGGACTCGCGTCCCGCCCGGGACTCCGGGACTCGCCACGATCACGCGAGGGGCACGCGTGTGTGGTCTCAAGGCTGGGAAGTCCCAAGCAGCGCTTCACCGCGGTCTTCGACACGGGCTCCGGGATTACGTGGGTCCCGGGTGCAGACTGTAAGAGCGCCTCGGCGCTGACGGGGTTTGTGTCGGCCAAATGGGCGGGGATTGGCGGGATTGGTTTTCTGAGGTGAGGTGGTTTCAGAGGGTTGGTGAGAGCTGATCGAAACAGGCGTGTGGGTCGCAGTATAGACCGAAAGATTGAAATCTCGCTCGCTCCCCGACGTCTTGACGGAATCAACCCAATGGGTAGGTCTTGTTAATCAGATAAGCTTGGAGGATCGGAATCCAACATTTGCTGAGGGTATTGGAGGTGACTTTTCAGCGAAAGCTTCTGTGCTGTTGGAAGATTTTGGAGTGCGCACGTTCAGCAACAAAAATGCACACTCGACTCGATCCTATTTCTTTGTATTCATTCAACGATCCACTATTTAACACAAAACAACAGTATAGATATAGTGATAGTCCTAGAGCAACAAGTATATTATCAACTAATTCAACTCCCAGTGAATGTACATTATATGAAGAATTATTGAATAGAGGCATATTTAAAAATTGTCTAGACGATTTGTTGGATGATCCTTTTTTAGTCGAGCAACTGTTTATAGGATCTTGATCTTCAACAATATTGTTATATCATATGTTATATATATATTTATTATTATTATTATTGGTATTGTTATTCATTTTTCAGTATATGAGACTGATTCAATCGAAACCTATTAATATTGGAAATAGTGTTTTGTATTGTACATATTTAGACATTGTAATGTCATCAAGTGTTTTTCTTTTTTGTTTTGAATATTGATTGTGATTTGAACACTGATGAACTGTTCATAATTTAGGATGCTACACGTTTTAATGAACAACTGATGATTCAATTTAAAGACCTTCTACCAATAATACAAAGTTATTACCATTGGCCACGACAAAAGTCTGGTTTTCTCAACATAATTGACAACGCAAGAAGGTCGTGGAGAAGGCAGATGACGCAAAGCAAGCAGATGTTTAGCGCGACGATGAATGAAAGAGTGCAAGAACGTCAGTGAACTGCTCTCAGAAGAGAGATCTGACGACGAAGATCTGACGACGTAGCAGAGATCCGATCAAGCCGTACTACAAAGGATTGTGCAGAAGCATATTTCCAGGAAAGATGGAAAGCAGCCAAGATGCTGATACATTCCTTGTCGGATTCAGGTGCTTCCGCACCAGGCATGCATTCACATTGGAGTAGAACTTTTGTGATCTGGGAAGAGCCATCGAAGATGTCCAACGAAGAAGCTAAAGCAAATTGAGAGATCGGCTTCTTCAACGAACGCAACAGTCAGTTCCGGCCTTTCATGGAATGAATTGACCAGGGACATACTGCGCTTTGTTTGGTGTCCCAGGGCGACTTTTTCGATCACACGCATGCTACTCAAATACATTGACGCCGTTTATGAGGTTAGTGAGTCTGCAATTGACGTATGTGCACTTGTGTTGAAAGTGCCATGCAGACCTGTGCTGGAAGCGCGGGGAGCGAATTTGTGCTAGAAACGCCAAGCAGAATGCCGCCCATGGGATGAAAGTAAAACTAACATGACTAACCATGGACTAACAGGATTGTGCAGGTTTGTTAGTTTCCTGCGCAAGTCCAAAACTAACATGGATTTTGTTCAACAACTGCGCTCGCCGCCCTCTCCTGCGCTCATTGTTCCGCCCAAGGTGACACCTGTTCGGAGCACCATCGCTTCGGGGTGGATGGTTCCAAGAGTTTCCAGGAGCCGATGTGGAAGGCTTCCAGAAAAAGAGCAACATCAGAAAAAAAGCAACCAAACACAAAGACACGATAAGGCAAAACCACAAATCACATAATATGTTTTGTTTTTTCTCCACCAAGTTCTGCAGTTTTCATTGTTTTTTCCCCTTGGTGCTGTTCTCAACAGTATAGGTGGTTGATCTGGTGAGAAGGACCCACGACCACATGGGTGCGAACATGCGCACTTAGTCAACTGAAGTCTGCCCACCCAACCAACTGGCCCAACATGTTCATGTGGGAACAACCATGTCTTTTTCGAATTGAAACCCTGCATTTTCGCGACGAGAACGCCACAGAGCGCCACAGAGCTGTGGTTCGCTGATCTCTTTCGGTCTAGTTGGGCGACCGAACCCTGGCGAAGGTTCCCAAACGACCGGTGGCCACGGGGGGATGTAGCAAGGATTTCCCCCCATTACAGTAAACACAACTGAAATGGGAGGCATTCCTCAAAACCGTGGGCGATATGTTTCCGATCTCCCCTTCAGAAATGTCTTCTTGAGATTCTCAGCGGACATGGAACTGATACAGGACGCTACTGTAGCGTATAGCTCCTGGCATTACATGGTGGTACCAACACCTCCGATGCCAAAAACCTCCCATTCCACAGGAGGTCTCCGGTCTCCATAGACAGATCAGCACGTCTGCTTGGTACCCGGACTACCAAGCGATTCAGTCCTGACTGGGACGACGTCGCGACCACCGACCACGACCACCGACCGGAGCCGAAACATGACTCCTGCGGGTCCCGGGAGAGCGAAGGGCAACCCATACACTCCATGGGACTGGCGGACTGCCGCCCGACCCCCAAACCACCACCCCTGGCCGTTTTGAAGGCAGTCCGGACTGGCAGTCCCATGGAGCGTTTGGGTTATACTATGTCCTATAAATGAGATGGGACTTGTAAAATGTATGTCGTCAACCACCAGTCCTATCTCATCAGCGCCCTATCTCATCTGAACCTAGTATCACATGTACCAGCTGCTTCCGAAATCGGGGTTACCTGGCTGGACAACCCTAAGCCTGCTTATGGGTCACCATTGGACACCCAGACAGGAAGCACTAGGTAGGTATATTCCAGTCCCATAGACAGATGCGTTTAAGGCCACAGCGTGATGTACCGATCATAAAACATCCAGTCCCATGGATGGTTTGGGAATGTTTGGGATTGATTCAACTCCAAAGCGATTTGGAATGGAGTCCCAACGAGGACAGAACAAGGCACTCCGGAGGTGGTCCAGAAACCGGTGGATCCCTGGAAAACCCCTAAGAGTTCTCCAAAAAAGGAGACATTCATGTCATTTCATGTCATTCCCACCATTACCAGAGAATTTACAGTAATGTCGGTCTGTTAGGAAATTCGGATCTCATCGGAAAGCATGGTATTTTCACCTCTAAGAAGGTGTGTTCTCCCCCGCCCGTCCTCGAGGAGTTCGCTCCCGGCGCGCGGGCGGATGGCACCATCCACTACGGCACAGGGCAGGCGGCCGGTGACCGTGGATCTGGTTGACCAGAATGTGGGACACCCATTAAGGTGTGTTGTGAAGGTTCTTCAAATGAAGGGAAACGTTCGTCGGTCGTGTCGGGCCATATGCTGCGCAGGCGGTGCGTCCGGCGCGTCCGCGGCGTGGGAAGCGAGAAACGCAGCTGATTGCGGTTCAGAGTCCACGTGTCGGGTTCAGAGTCATTCTTGGGTGGATTTTTCATGTGACATGGGACATGTTCTGATGTTCAGAATGGGCCAAGTTCAGAACGTCGGCTCGGGACCTAGAAGCTTTTTGGAACTCGGATCTTCTGTCGGATCTCCAGGTGTCTTTTTGGTTCCTTTTTGGTGACGTCCAAGCTTGTAGGCCGTAGGTCCGGTTCGCATGGGCGGTCGGTGGCGACGGTGCCTGTTCCTGTTGGGGCTCGCGGCGGGCTTTGTGCGGTGGCCAAACGGGGGGCCTCGGAGAAGAGTGGTGAGTCTGGCTGAGAAGCTTTCTTCAGCAGGCAGGAATGGAAGCGAAGGGTTTTCAAGATACCTTGTGACAGAAGGCTTCTCTCCAGAAGACATTGCGTTGATGCAGAAGAAGATGAAGGGGCACAAGCAATCCAGTGAAGAGGAAGTGATACCGAATATCAAGTACCTTCTCAGGCTGGGGCTTAACACCAAGCAGGTTGCCAAGGGAGTGGCGACTTTTCCGTCAATGCTTTGGCTCAGCATCGAGAGCATCAAACCCTCTGTGGACTGGCTGGTCAACTTTGGCCTGAACAAGATGCAAGTTGCAACGATAATTGCAACCCATCCACGCATTCTTGTTCGCAACACTGAACAAGACTTTAGGCCAACTGTGGATTGGCTCCTGGACTTGGGGCTTAATGAGATGCAACTTGCCAAGGTATTGACAAGATTTCCACAGATTCTTGGCCTCAGCATCGAGCAGAATTTGCAGCCTAAAGTGGCGTGGCTACTGGACTTGGGGCTGAGAAAAAGGCAAGTTGCTCAGGCCGTGGTGGCGCATCCCCCCCTTCTGGCATACAGCATGGAAAAGAATCTACAGCCAAAGTGTAGTTTGCTGAGATCGTATTTCTCCCGTGAGGAACTCGTAACGTTGCTCACGTCCTTCCCGCCGGTGGTGGGCTACAGCTACAGCCGCCTCAGTGAGCGGGCGGGCGTTCTAGCAGCTCAAAAGAAGCTCAAGAAGCTCCCATGCGCTCTCACACTAGATGCTGAGAAATTCTTTGATAGGTATGGAGCGATGGTCACCTCGGCCATGGGATCTTTGAAGTGAAAATCGGAGATGGGCAAGCGGCCAGCCGCACAGGGTCAGTCAGAATTACCCTTCATAGGGCCTAGGGATCCACCTGATTGAATTCGAAGAAAGTTATAGAACAGTTATAACGATCAGATTCTGCACTCAATATATTGGATGACTATACGTAATTACTTGTGTTGCTCCGATTCGCTTGTCACTGAATAACCGAATGGGGGGTATGCTGATCCAGGTAATCCAGCTGTCCAGCAACCGCCCAATTTTGCACTTGTCTCAGTGAAAGGGGTGGGCGGGAGGACAAGTCAAAGCAGGTTCTTCTTGGAAGTTTGGAAGATGATATCTGATAACTCCTTGGAATCCATGTACGTTTGCTCCTTCACAAGCTTCGAGCATGCATTTCACCAGGTTTGCTGTGTTTCGGTCCTAGTCTTGATTTGGATCCCAATCCGGTACGTGAGCTGTGAGCTGTTGGGTTCACCAGAAATTCGTACTTCGAAAGATGAGTGAGTCGACTTCGATGACTTCCGATCTTTTGGGATCGACTGTCCACCCCTAGTCCACCACCCGGGGTTCATGTCCACCCCGAGTCCGTCCGCCGGGACCCGCGCGACGGCAGGTGGAGTACGTCGACGGCCGCGATACGTTGACCTTCTGCGACAGCCACAGTGACCCGGGATGTCATGGGATGAAGGCGAAGCAGCTCAAGGCGCGTGGCGCGCGGTGCGTGGGATGGAATGAAAGTTGAGAGGTATATACGAATGTGTCCACATTGTGTCACATCAAGAGGGAGGAGAGGAGAAGAGATGGTTTGCTGTTGGATGTTGTTTCTTTAATCATTTTGGATGGATCAGCGGTGATGGTGGTTATCCAGCATTTGATCAGACTATTCCATATAACTATGTATGTGGTTGATCTACAGTATGTCAATAGGTGTCGAGAGTGCTTTGGACGTGGAGACTGAAAGAGATGTTCTTTGAGCTGAAGAGTTCGAGCGAAGACCATCGTCATCGGTCTTTAACAGGCAGTCGTTCACGAAGCAAGAGTCTAACAGGACGGTGTTGCTCATCCGATTTGGTCCGGTTTGATGCAGATGAAGCCAACCAGGTCGAGAGCCAACCCTTCGGCATGTCCACCAACCAGCGGCTTTGACCGAGAACGGGGGCGATGGAGAACCAGTTTTGGGTCACTTGGGAGCCTTTGAAGTTGCTTTTGGAGGGGATACAATGAGGTGGACAGCTATCACAGCAATCGTTGGACCGCAAAAGACCTTTCATGGAGAGCAGTCGTCGGATCTAGGCTCCAGTGTTCGGGAGGTGCATGTTTCTTCCTATAGGAGAGGTTTTTCTGTGCGGCCACAAGAGGACCATCATGCAAGATCCACCGTGAAGATCCGCACTGCCAGTCGCTGAAGAGCCGGGACTCATGGCGGATCGGTTGGGAACCCGGACTTACCGGCCTGCCGAGGACGGACTACCCCTTCCGCATCCTGCCCTTCGACGGCATCCTGGGGCTCGCGCCCTCGGCCTCCAGTGGCTCCGTCATGCACGCGCCCGGAGGCTCAGAGGCGACGCGTTCGACCGGAGACAGATCGACCTGGGTGGCACCGGAGAGCACCGGGGGATTAGTAGCGATGCTTCCTTTTTGGGTCGTGACCGTCACTTGAAAGTGAGTGGATCTGGATGGGAGGGGCGTGTGAAATTGTTGCTCTTCGCCGTTGGAGTTGGATAGGAAACTTCTTCTGGTGCTTCCAGGCAGCTGAGGCTTCTTTGCTTTACCCGAAAACGTTGACTGTAAAGGATTGACTCACAAAAAGCCACTTCTTGGATACAGATCTTCCTCTTCTGCCTTAGCTATCGCAGGCCTGCGGCCTTCGGTCTCCGGGTGTATCAGCATGCTGGGGAGAAAACTGCTGGGTCCCTAGGCTGAAGAAAAGCAACGCCTTGGATCGGAACCTCTTCGGCGTCTACCTTTCAGAGGCGTCTGAGATAGTCGCATAGTGATGGGGGCACTGCTGGTGGGCTCCAAGACTGATCCAGCCACCTTTTTGTCAGTATTCATTACAATCAGTATATATATATGTTTATTGTTCTTTTTCTTAGCTGTTGTTATTATATTACTATGTGTATATATATATATATATTTGTCAATTGTTATCACTGTTATCATTACTGTTGTCTATTAAAAAAGGTACTTTTGAAAGCTACTCAGCTTGGATGCTCCGCCACCTCCCCACAACTCACCAATCAATCAAGTAAACAAAAAGACCCGCAACTGCATGCAGCACTCAAGAGATATGAGTCACGAGTCGTCATGGCACCTCCACCTCCACCATGGGAGCTCGGTTGACACCGGCCTCGCGGCGCACGGCGAACAGGACACCCACCGGAGTGGCAGCATCTCCTTTGGCGGCATCGAAAACGCACACATCGCGCCGTGTCTCGGCGAGCCGTCGCGGAACTGAGGAACTGAGCCAACATCAAGCGGTCTACATCATCAGGGAAGTGGATGGCATGACCGGTTTGTAGAGGAACATGGCCATCATGGTCGGGGTCATAATTTGAGAAATTCAATCCACTTCCATGAGAATTCCAGGGAGTGTGCGAGTCTTGTTGTTGTGGATGAGCACCTTTCCTTCAGTTTCACAGGCATCCTCTCCCCAGCGTATTTGCCCAACTGAGTTGACAGGGACGGGATGTGCCATCACTGCTACAAGAATCTACAAGATACAGGCTTGTCCTTTGGACTTGAGGGTGCATATGATGCTTATTTTGTGAGACCGTGGTGTAGTGGCAGAGATCAAAAGACGTCTTGATGCGTTTTGAAACAGCTTTCGGACATTTGTTCCTGAAAAGTCTGGGTCATTTGGCTGCCCAGATTCGCTCGTTCGAAGGTGGAAAAACGAAAAGCAACGCCTTAGGAAGAGCCCTTTGACTTGGCATCAGATCCAGAACGACCAGGCACCCAGGGGCCCTGTCAGACGCACGTGAGGGACGTGTTGCCTTTTGGAGGATGCCAGTGATCCTCACTTAGGCTCAGGATACAGTTGAGTTAGGATCACGTTGACCTCGCAGGTGCGCTGACTCGTGAGATCCTGAGACCTGAACTTCTAAAAAGTGGAGGACCTCCAAGAGGTTCATCGGTTATCTCAACCTTGTTTTCTAAAGACACAGATGTGACATATTCGCATCATGTAGTATCTTACCAATCAGACACGTCGTCCTTCCTTTCAAGTGTCTTATAGTCACGGAATCACCGGGTCACACCCTGCGAATCGCTCCGTCTGCACTGCGTGCTGGTCTCTTTCAAGGTTCGATCGAAGCGGGTTCAGCACGGTAAACCGTCGTCGACACGAAGTAGCACGGACATAGACAGCCAGAGCCCAGAGCCATGACCTCTGTCAATACCTGCGTAAAACTCTTGATCGATCCGATCCTGATGTTGAGAGAGAAAGAAAAGAGGAGAAGAGCATAATTATTTTGGGTGGTCGGTGGTCCAAAATAGAGGTCACCCAGGCTCTAGGCTACGGTAGAGAGGATGAAGTCAGGGTCAGGGTCAAGCCATGCACATCCATGAAATGCAGGGCGATCATTCGCCCAGAGGAGTGGACCCTGGCGATGAAGGACATCCTGGTGGATGGAAAGCCGCTGCACGCCCTTTGGCAGGATCTTCTGGGGGCTTCAACGAGATGTTCCCAGGGATTTGTTTTTGAGTCTTCCTAAGGCCTAAGCCATTTTGTTTTCCCCTGCGATGGTCAGTGAGACGCATTTATGGGAGATTGGCTCTGCACGGGCCAAAAACGTAAACAGATGTATACAGTATCCCAAGTCGATGGTGCACAGAATGGCTTGTGAGTGCACAAATAAAGCACAGATTCTCTGTTGAGTGGGAAGCATCCACAATCCACAGCCTCCTGGAAACAAAATGGATGTTCCAATATGGCGCCAGCTTGAAATCCTTTACATAGGAAATGGCTGGGACGGGGGACACGTCCAGAACTGTTTCTGGTTGTTGATCGGTTTCCACCCCCCCGGTTCTTCTAAATGCCCTGTTTGAAACCTCAGCCACTCTCCGTTTGGGCACCCTGTCCAGCGGATGGACGTTCTTCCCCGCCCGCACCGAGCCAAACCCTTTTCGCCAGCCATCGGCGACCCGTCCGGAAGCGCCTCGTTCGCTCCCGACGACGACCTGAGATCTGCGACGACCGGCCGGACGGCGTGTGCCCGGCGGTGGTGGACACGGGAAGCTCCTTGATCACGGGGCCCAGCGGCGAGGTGGAGAAGCTGCTGCTGGGATCGTGCTACTGGGAGGGGGACTGGGGGTATAGTGGCATGTCTCTTGTTGTGTGTCTTTACTCATTGTGGCATTGTGGAATGATGTGGAATGAGTTTGGATTTTTAGGTTCTGAACTCGGAGCTTTGGGGACTTCTCTTCTCATCAGGGCGCGAGCTGGGCGGGACCTGGGAGGGAGCAACCATGGCTGGTTGGTCCGCGCGTATGGCGAATCACTGGAGTCCGCTGCGTTATCGCTACTCGTCACCAGTTGGCATGGTTTTAAACCGAGAAAAGCGGGTCCATCCGATCGGACATTGGGCTCCTCTCCCCTCTGCATCTCCCTGCACCCTCTCACCCTCTCCTCTCCTATCGAGATTGCTGTTGAAAGCGTTCGCTTCACTATGTTCACTTCTCCAAAGCGTTCGCTGCTGGGGTCAGTGATGAGGTTGAGCAAAGTGCGATTGAAGGAGGACTGCAGCAACTTAGCTTCTTGGAATGAAGACCTGGCAAAGAACGCTCGGTTGATCGGCATCGCGAGTTGACAGCGACCATCGCGTCCGTCGTTGGAGTGGTCTGAACTTCACGAGGTCATGATCCAACACAATACGTACCAGCACCCGAAACCTGCCAGGTCACCACTCTCGCGACTGTTGAAGTGCCAAAGCCTCCAGAACTCGGAGACCTGTAGAGTTGGGTGCTGGTACAAATACCATTACCATGATGGTCTTATCTTCTTAACTCTTGATGTTCGACCTGCTCGTTTTGGCTCGCTCCGCTCGGTGCAACGGGCCCACACGGCTCGGCCGTCAGCTGGACGTCCAGAAAGACCCGGGGCCAATGACGGTCGACCAGAAGACACACGCAGTCACTGGACGTCGTTCGTTCATCTTTGTTTCCGAAACATGGACAGACGGGATAACCAGTCCACCATGTAGTGCATGCAGGTCAACCATGGTCAACCGTTCGGTCTCCTGGTAGATTTGTGTGAGTGAGTGTTTGTAGATCAATTTTGACTTGATTCGACTATCGTGCAATAGCAGATATATGTGTATAGTGCACTCCCTGAAAGCTTCGGTGCCTTTTTGGCCGCCACCTACACCACTGGCTGCCTATCTGTCCACTCCAAAGCCACGGCTTAGGGCAAGCTGCCCAATGTGAGCTTGCGCATCGCCGACCGCAATGGCGCGGTGGTGGGTTGACGGCTTGGGTGGGTCCGGGAGGCACGCGCCACCGGCGTCTAGTGGAAGGGACGTGTGGCACTCCCTCCCCTTCATGTTCTCGTTCGGGCACGAAACAAGGGCTGGGGAACGACCCAGAACTTGCGTTTGGCACGGCTCAACTGGTGTTTTTCGAAAGACCCAGAGGAGTGCGACGAAGAACGCCCATGTTGGACTACAGTGACTAGGTCTGTTCCGACACACTGTGGTCATAGCCAGTCATTCCAGTTGGCACATAGACGCGGCCGAAGGCTTCGCCGCAAGGCTTCTGTTTTTTTGACCCGTATAGACCGTATAGAGATGGTTGATTTTTGGAGAAGTGGCCCCTGACGTTCATGTCTCGACTCTCCATCCGAAATAGATCCATCATCGCCATCGCTTCGCCCCTCGCACCCCTTAAGGAGAGGGCCCATGGCTTCCCTCGTGTACACCGAAACACCGACAGCTCCGCAGGCGTCCTGACCGACTACCCTTTGACACCCGAGGCGCCGTCGGACGGAAACGCCGGCTGAGTGACCTGCGTTGGGAACTTCAAACGAAGCGGTTGAGGGAGAATCAACAAACGCGACGGAATTGCATGGAGACACATCTCAATACCGTCAAACCTGGGGCACAAAGACGAAGCCCCCAAAATGGAGGCTTCAAACTTGGCGTTCTTCTATAATGTTACTGCAATCTCCCAGGACCTTCAGTACGTGACCGAACTTGATATCCCAGGATGAGGTCACTTTGAAGGTCTGTTTTTCGGTCACAGAAAGACACTCCAAGGTGTCGAGGTCACCTGATGGGGCCCCATGCGCTGCGACGGAAGACGGAAGACGGAAGAGATGAAACGCGAGGACGGCCACAGGAGGACGGCCACAGCAAGTAAAAACGCCATCCCGTCCAGGTATCTACACTGCTTATATCTACTTCCTTAATCCTTTTCATCTCATTTTTTCTTCTTCCGCTTCAGACAGCCTTCGTTCAGCGAATGCGCCCCGCTTTCGCCTCAGGAGTACACCCTGAAGAGTCTGGATGAGGTGCCACAGACCGGGAACTCGGAATACCTCAAGGCGCGGGAAAAGGGGCACCGCGGCAGGATATCCTGGGGAGAAGGCTTGAAGGAAGGCTTGTTACTAGTAGTGATGCCCTTGTTACTATAGTAGCGATGCACTCTGCAAGGACACCTTAATTTATGTTGGAATCCCGATTGAGAAGCACTGTCTTTTAGAAGCGCAGGGTTCTTACAGTACACTACAACTGGATACAACGGTAATGGTCCAACGGAAAGCCAGGGGCGCCCTACATATCCCTACATAGGCTATAGAGGTCTTCCTATGTGGCTTCGGACGTGTCCAATCTGCGAAAGTCATGTGGATATACGACGGAACCTTTTCTCTTCCTAGTCTGCCACGGTTCAGATCATGTTTCTGACCCCGTCTGATCATGCGCACACCAAAACACCGATCACCGGCCCCGAAACCGCCCGCTCCGCGGGTGGCGAATGCGCCGTGCGGTGCCACAGGAGTTCCCAGTGCTGGGCGGTTCTGGAGACCAGGTGCCCGAAGTGAAGCCTCGCTGCGACCCCGAGATGGGCGTGCCTTGGGCGGATGGAGCGGGCAGATGATCTTGGTGGAGGGGAGCGGTTCCAAGAAGATGGATGTATTTTTTGTGGGGGCTGAAATTGTTTTCCCAATTGTTGGTCGGTTTGTTGGGGGTTTTGCGAGAAACACGAGGGTGATTTTGATTTCCCGATGGTTGAATACCCACACCTGGCAAATCCCTCTTTCCTAAGTTCCTGAACAGCAAATCCAAGGTTTGATGAGGTTGATGAATCTGGAGGAAGGAGAACCCTCTGCAAGGAGGCCAGCTACGACAGCGACGATCGGGGGAAACTCACTCGCCCATTGGCCTCAATCCCACTAAAGGCCAACCACAGAAGGAAGGTTGATGACCAAGAAGGATGGACCAATTAATCCAATTGGTCCATCCTCCGAATCTTACCAAGAAGGATGGACCAATTGGATTGATGACCCTTGACTATTTTGAAGGTCGGCATTGACGTGCCCCGTGCCATTCCATCCGAACTCGCATCCTGAACTCGCCGCTTTTCCCCCTGAACCCGCCGTTGACCTGTGAAACTCTCTGGGTCAAAACATGGGAGGTCGCATCTTTCCAGCTTCCCCAGGATGTGTCCACCGGTCGCGAAGAAGTGGAAAAAGGAGTTCAGCTCTGGTCCGAACCTCCGCGCGGAACCCGCGCATGTTTCACGTCACCATGGATTTCAGGGAGTTTTGTCCGGAGTTAGCTTCTTGTTCCTATAAGTAGTGAGGCCAGCCCCGTTCGTAGCGTCCGATCGCTCCGTTCGGTTCGCGATGCCCGGAGCCCCGTTCGTAGCGAACCTGGTTCCTACGCCCCGGAAGGTCCGGAGGTCTGGACCTGGGGCCCGACCAAACCGACCCAAACCCACCCAACCAAGCTCTTCCCAGCGGCGGGTCGCGACCCGCCCGGGTCGCATCTCTTCTTCCGCCCCAAAGACGGCGACGTCGACCAGTCTTCAGCCGAGGTCATGGATGTGCCCGGTCGGAAATGGGTGCCTCGGCGGAGGTGTATGGAGAAAATGGAGGTCGAAATGGTGCTCTAAGATGCTTTTGGGAGCACCGGAGCACCCAAAACGCCCAACTGCGACCAAGTTCGTTTGATTTCGTTTGGCTTGAGATGTTTGTCTGTTTTAAACACCCTTTCAGAGCAATCCATGAAACACCCACGATTCACCGGCCTTCACTGTGCGAAGGTTCCCTTCGCCCAGTGCGAAGCTTCCGGCGTTGGCCAACATTGCAAGTCTTCGGATAAAAGACATTGCAAGTCTTCGGTGTGTATTCTATTGGCTGATGGTGATTTCTTCCTTTCCCGGGGTAAATCATGGCAAATCCTGAAACTCGGAAAGAAAGACAAGACCATCAAAGAGCATGAAGCCAAAACAGGATGTGGTCAAGGCATCTTCGGTGAATGCTCCAACTGGGCAGCTCAGAAGCCATGTCCATTTGCAGTGAGCCTCGTTTTGAGTATTTCTGCATCCGTTTAGTGCTGAAGGTCTTTCATCACATTGATCTGTAAATCGTCTGAAAATGCCTGAAAGCCTTCTGCAGGATGCCATCAGTGGACTTCATGGAGCAAACGCTCCGCATGGTCGTCCGAAGCGTTCCAATCTGGTTTCTTAGGACGACCAAGATCTTTATGGACTTTTCCGACCATCCATCCTCCCCTCAAGCAATACACAGAGAGAGCTATGGGGAAGATGTTTGGAGTGAGCTCAGTTGGTGCCCTTAACCCTTTACAGCATCAGCCCTTCACGCGGCCAGGGCCCTCCAAACATGGCGTTGCCCCTTCAGCCGCCACCGTTTCGGAGGCAAGACGAGGTGCCGCCACCGAGGTCCCGCGGAATAGCACCCAAAGGCCTGCGGAATAGCACCCAGGTTCAAAGGAACATCTACAGGAAGCCCAACCAGTTCGGGGGGGGAGGAGAACCTCCAACTCAACGCTGGTGGAGCGGAACTCCATTTGGCCTGAGGTCATTGGCGATACCTTCCTCAGGCGCAGTGACGCACGCGGTCTGAGCTGAGCCTTGTGTTTTGTGGGGAGGGTCGCACTAACGACCCAACGAAGATGGACATGGAAGTGGGAAGGTTATTTTTTGTTCTACCAAACCCAGACGCTCCATGTATGGAATATATGTGCCTACATTGACTCCCCAAACCACCCCAACTGATCGGCATATATGGCAGTCCCATGGAGCGTCCGGTTACCAAAGACATCGGCTGTTCGACTGTTAATGGTTGGGATTCACATGACTCCCTTTGTGTGCCACGTCGACCACGTCGACGTCCACATGGGACCGGAGTGCTTACGGTCGACCTGACTGTGCGTGTAGAGAACAAAGACTTAGGCTCCCAATAATTAAAGATCCATCTCCCAAAGCACTTCATTCACTTCATCCTGACCTTTCATCTTTCGCCCATTCAATTTCCTCCTCTTTTCATCCATGTCACTGTACCTTTTGATACCTTTTCAATCCGTTTGAACCGCCTCCCCGGTCGACCAGTCCGATTCGACGCTTGACACGAGGCGTTACTACTCCATCTACGACGACGACCGCGGACTGGTGGGCTTCGCGAAGAGCATCCATCCGGACGAGGTGCGCGATCGGTCACGAGCGGTGCCGATCTGGTGCGAGGCCGTCCGCTGGGTCGCTCGCCCCTGCGCGACCGTCTCTCCGATCTCGCAGACTCCGATCTCTCCGATCCGGTGTGGTTTCACCGGTCACTTCGGTCCCAAAAAGTGCCTTCGTTTTGGGAGGTGGAGGTGACGGCTTTCCGAGGGGAGGAGCTGTGAAAGTGGAGGCCACCGAACCTTCATCGCTGGGGTCAAAAAAGGAGGTCGCGGGGGACCACAGGGAGAGTATGAGGAGGTGCGAAGTTTTGAAACCAGTCAGTAGAAGATCCCAGAATTCCTGATACGAACACATTTTCCACCTGCATAAGGCATTCCCGTCGCTCAACCCGGCCCATCTACCAGCGGCTGCATTTGCACCTTAACACCACTTGCACCTTGCATCTCTATCACACACTTGAAAAATCCTTGATGTATTGCCGTATGGTGGTCAGGGATCCTTTCCGAAATGATCCTCTTCAGGGCCGAACGCCCATCCTGGCGCCAGCCGTGATCGGCACTGACCTGCGTTGGCCACAACCCCCGAGAGACCACGGTCGAGACCGGTGTCGTAGAGGTTGGTGTCGCACACCTGGTGTCGCACCCTTCAAGTGGACCCAAGTGGGGCGAAGTGGACGGACGGTCCTCTTTAGGAAGTTCTTTCTACACCCTGACGCAGACTAACATATTAAGCTGGAACACATGATGCGGGAGTAGAGGTGGTCATCTGCCTGGATTCCGGTGGTCATTACTCAGGTTGTCGTCTTGACACTTCTCAACCGTCCCAACCGCCAACGAACTAACCTTTGCAAAACCAGCCGGTCGACGGGGCCGCCATCGACCGCCATCGACCGCCATTGGCATCGGCCCCGAGCTCCGGCGTTTCAATCGAAAGCGCGTTGAGATCTGATCTCAAGCGCTGTGTTTGACGCCATGGAGACGTTGAAGTGGCTCGAGGAATCCCCCAGGCCGGATTCGTGAGGAAGTAATGCGTGCATGTGTCGTTTTTGCACCCACGTGGGTCACCTGCAGGTCACCTGCCGTCTGGTTTCGTTTGGGGAGGTCGATCGCAGTCAGCTAAGAGCCGGCGCCGGCCGGGTGGGTGAACCATTCGCCAGACAGCATGCGAACGGGACTCCAGGTCACCGAACAGGTGCACAAAGACTGCGGATGGTGTGGACTCATAGATGGCCTTTTAATGCCTGATGAATAGAGATTCCCCCAAGTGAAGAACCAATAGGATCTATGTCTATAAATTTGTGAATATGGTACTACTCAATTGGCCCGATCTACTATTTCCCCAAAAGACATCATCATGGTATATGACCATGTCTCAGAATTTTGCAGACATGCAAAATCAACGTTCGAAAAGCATCGATAAGCACGAGTTGAGCTTCCCAATTCTTGGACACGCAACCCCCAACACTCAACAACATACCTGGACCATCGAATGGGTGTCCCATGGAGATCCCTAAGTAGTGAAGGGTATAGTCCATTGGTGACCCATTGGATGTTCCTGGTAAGGATCTGATTTTTCATGTCTTCGAGGACCCGCAACCGTTCTCGTGAGATGGGATACTCATCCTGCAGTATGTGTTCTTTCTCTTCTCAACCAAACCGTTGTGACTTTCTCTATAGGCACTTTCTGCCATTTTTGAGTCTTGCGGTACGAGTCGGTGTGAACACCTGTTTTCAGAGCAGCGAACCGTCGTTTTCAGAGCAGTCATTGGTCGTGCAGCCGAACAAGACCTTTGGCACCACCGGTCGGCAGCCGGAGGCGTTTCTTTGTTCCTTTCTGTCCCACGGTCTGCGGACGTGAACGGAGCTCCAAGACCTTCACCGGGTGGTACAGGTCCACCGTCCTACAATTGGTTCGGTGGATCGAGTTGGTTTTTGGTGCATCGGTCACAGCCTGACCCTCCACGAATCGAGGTTGACCTCGGTTTGGTCCTGAAAGAGTTAGATGCTCTTATAGCTTCTTTCTTTTTTAAGCGTAAGGAATTTGCAGATGCTTGCTGGTGTTCCGGCCAAAAAGATCTCCATCCGAATGGAACAAGCCGAGCTCCAAACGGGCACCGAAGCTCGACCGAACTCCGTTCGCTGTTCGAGGGCAACGCTCCGCGCGGTCTGCTTCAGGCCAGTCCACGCGACCGATGACAAGCCGGGTCACGCGACCGTCGTGGGGCAGCCGAGGGTGTTGGGGGGGGGGTGGTCCGTCCGTCGACGTCGATTTGGGGTTTGCTGCAGCTGCCTGTGGTGGGACCAAGGAATGACGTTTTTGTGGTCGAAACTGGACGGGATCGATCGGGACGGTCAAAGCAAACGGGATCGATCGATTTGGAAGCGCTTCCGAAAAATTACTATTCTTTTTCCATGGAAACTTGTGACTCATGACCATGTTTCACGGAACGTGAGCTGCATCAATCGACCTCCCCAAAAGAAGGAACCCCGTGGACGTTCAGTTCCGCTGGGACATGTGCTACAGGTTTCCGGAACTGACCTCATAAGACTGGAGTTGGTCATACAAAAACAATCAAAAACACTCTGGTTGTACTGGGTTGGACTGGACTTAAGTAGGGTTTTGTAAAGACTTGGTCATCTCAGACCAAGTCCTGTGGGCTTGCTGAGTACGGAGATCTGTTGAACGTCTGACCACCTATGGGGGGGGTCTTGGCTTGAAACGAGACGAACCTAGAAATCAACCGAACCAGAAAAAAACGGATGTTTCCCCCGTCCCAACCACTTCTGATGTTTTCAGGATTTCAAAGAAAACATGTTGGAACAACCAGAACTGTTTCTGGTTGGAACTGTGTTTCCAGGTTCAGAGGAGCAAGGACCAAGACAGGGCCCAGGTGTCGCAAAGACTTTTGGAGGGTTTTCCGTGGGTTCCCCTTGAAAAAGTCAAGCTGCCTACGCATGGCCGTACGTGTGGCAGAAGTCCTACCTAAGTGGGATGTGTCCAAAAAGATCAGGACAGCTTGCAAAACGATCTAGTGAACAACCACACATGATATCAATCACAAAGAAACCACAATTGCCTCGCTAAAGGTCTGGCCGAGATTTCGCGACCTGTTGAGCAAGTGAACTAAAGATCGATCCACGACTGGGCCTTGCAGAAAGGGCAACCTGTTAAACCATGTCCGACCTCCGTCCGCCACGCGTCCGGATCCTCGGCTCAACCGCTGGGCTCCAAGGAACTCTGGTCTGCGATGGGCCCCATTCGCAAGGCAGGGAACAAGGCGCGGGTGGGCTGGCAGAATGGATCTGGGTCAATTGGGTGAGTCTGGATGTTTCCAAACAAAAGAGAGCGTGCCCAAGTCACACTGACCGCATGGATCACATAAAGCTGACTAGATATGAAGGAGATTTTCTGAAATGTGGATCAATCGATTCTGAAAGAAAAGGCACACAATTGAAGGCACGTATATGTTTTCTTTCATCTCTTCCCGTCACATCTTTCGGACAGAACACCCTCAGCCGTCCACTTGCTCCGTCATGGCATCCGGAGACGGAGGCAACCAGCGAGCAACAGAACAGCGCGTTCCGGGCTCCGGGGTGAGTTCCGGGCTCTGGGTTGAACGAAGCATCCAAAACGACCTCATCCCTTCAGCATCCCCTACCCTCTGTCTCACGGTCGACTACCAGGCCCGCCCGCACTGACGGGTGGTCAGGTTCCGGTCGGATGACTTCAAGACAGACTGTTCGAGCATTTGGGCGTAGCTCCAACAGGCAAAACATGGGAAAACACTTTCCCCAGAAAAACTTCGACTGCAAGAAAGGACCTTTTCCTCCCAAAGCCTGATTGGGCCAGCAACTAGGTGGTTCCCTAGTAGGTTCCCTATTCAGTCCAGCTGAAGTTGACACTACCAGTGGTTCCCTGGTCGGTTTTCTCTCACTGCGCCGATCTCTTCGTCTGGCTGGCCGCTCGGTGGACAGGAACCACAGCAGTCTGTGAGAGACACCTCTTTGGTCGGGGCCCAGACTGTCTGGGTGAAGGTCGGCGGTTATGTGAAAGTCTAGACAGCGTGGATTTCTATATGGATTTCTCCTTTTTTCACTGCCAATCGAAAGGTGGTCAATTCTTGCAAGAGTGTGCAATTTGCTTGGTTACAAAGTAGGGGAAATGGACTTGAAGCCATTAGTCTCTATTTGCCAAATCAAACTTTATTTGAAGTCTTACACATGAGCGTGCTCCCAATGTCTTGGGCTTTGCAGTTCGTGGTTCCGACTCAGTTTGGGGGTGGGGGTTGGGTGATGGTGCATTTTTGAGATACTGTTTTGTTAGGAAAAGCAAACACGCACACATGTGGGTGAGAATCACAAAGTGGCCAAAACATGGAGCGTTTGCACCCCAAAGTAAGAGCTTCTCTTTGCTTATTCTTCTGAACAACCCATGCTTTCCAAAGGAGGAGCTTTTGGAGGCTGGAACAGCTGGAACCTGAAGATCCGGGACGATCTTGTTCCGTTGTTCCCGACGAACCTGCGTGACCTCTATCTTGGACCACCAACCACCCAACATATTGGCCTTTCCTATCAAAACACAGGTCGTGTCTGGGTTCTATAGGTAACGGTATAGGTATACCTACATCTTCCTTTGTATGTTTTTAAGGAGGGGTTGTGTCGAACAAACATAGTTCTTGGGCCAGGCAGCGGACATGTGTGTAGTACTACAGCACATGTTTGATACTTTTTGGATTTGGGATAGAATGGGGGAAGTGACCAACAGTGACACTTCACCCAAAAGAAATACAAGAACATACCCGGGTGTCTTATATAGGTATAGATGCTGCCAGCACCTGACTTCACAGGTCACCAATTGAGACCTTTTTTTGAGGCCCTTCCCCTCTTTTGAAAAACGTGTTGGTACAAGGGTACAATTTTTTGTTAATGCTATACCTCTTCGACCAAGACTCTTGGACCTCTTCTTTTACACGGTTTTATGATAACTCTAGTAGCAACGGTGGGCTTGCAAGGGTTCCAGGACAACGTAGGTGGCTTTCCGAGTCCTTTCTTGAAAGCCTTTCTTCCAAAACAAGGCCACCAACAGGGCTAGAAGAGGCTTCTTTCCCGACGAAGAGCAGCAGCAGGCTGCGGTCTTTCACATATGGTTTCATGGGCGGTTTCTTCCAGCCAGAGATGTTCTGAACCTTAACCTTGAAGTGCATGGAATTCTCCATAAATTCCTACACCCACCGTAAATATCTACATCTCGACTGTCACTGCCCAGAGAGAGAGAGAGGTTCTGGGTGAATGACTTGGAGT